CAAACTGACAGACAAGTTTGTCTTCCTTAGCTGGAACAATCTTGGAAAGTATAAATCCAGACCTGTAATTTCGTGAGTCTAATGCTTCAAACCTTTACAATAATATGGACATTTCCAGATTTGCTCACATTAGCAGTACCTCCAGAACAAAATTTAGCATCTGGACACTTTTGTTCTCTACATCTGTGCAAGTATATTGGTTATTTTAAATTAAATGTGCCAGAGAGCACATCTAAAAAACTCAGTGCCTCATAAAACATTTGAGGAATACTAGTATGCAAGAATTCAAACAACTGATGGCCCTGCTCTAAAACCTAGCTAGGTACTATCTATACTGGTTTTTCATAAATACATGAAATGTCGATGTTAATAACTCTGTATATTGACAAACCAAAAAACCAAACCAAACCTGTGGCTATAGAACTGATCTCAATTCATGGTGACTCCATCTGTTACAGACAGCAGAACTACTCAAGGTTTTCTTGGCTATAATCTTTAGGGAAATTTTCTGCAGCCATTGGGTGGGTTCAAACCACCAACCTTTAGGTTAGTGGCCGAGCAGAAGTCATCTGTGCCATCAGAAACCTCTATATATTAATAGCTCATTAAGCTGTAATGATAACTACATGTGTCCCTGTGATTCTGAACAATAAAAAATACACTGCAACTTTTGAGTACAATCTTACAGAATTTGTAACAGTGCAATAGCTTATAAAACATACCAAGTGATAAGAGGATTGTGAAAATTTTACCTTCTGCAATAATTAGAAAAGTAAAACTGCTTTTGAGGAGATTATTATAATGAAAATACATCTTTCCTCTTTAGGGTAAATTTTGACTCCTGCTATCATTAAATCTGAACTTCAGCTTAGATGTCAGTTGGATGGTTTGGGACCAAGAATTTAGTTTGGCCCTTTGACTCTGGTTTCTGAAAACAGCCTGAGCAATTAAGGTGTTTGTTTTCCATGCATATTCATTGGTTGGATCAATCACTGCTATACATTAAGTCCCAAGTTACGTATATTCAGAGTTCCCAGTGACTAGGGACCTGGAACCTCTGAGTGCTCTTTTGAGACTTCATGGATTAGTGAGAACATCTATGAACAGGAGAAGATACAATATGTTCCTGGGGACAGTGGAAGCCTCAGTGTGCCCAGACTTCTCCCAGACCAAGCCTAATGCATCTCCACTCGTATCCTTTCTGGGTATAATAAATGGGTAACTGTAAATATGGGTTACAATTTCTGTGACTTCTGTGAGTCATTCTAGAGAATTACTGAACACAGTAAGGGCAGTGAGGACCAGCAGAGAGGCTGGCATTTGCCTATTTTACAGGGGCTGAAAGGACAGAGTCCAAAGTTATGGTGATCTGACTCTGGGTGGCTGGGTCAGAGAAAGTACCACATGGGTGGCTGGTGTTAGAATGATGAAGTGGTAAAGTGGGGCTATGAATTATCTTCACATTTTGGAAATTAGCTTTATGTTGGCTATTGTTCATACTGATGAGGAATAAAAAAATTTTAATTGAAATTTTATCTACTTCTCTTGACAATGATAAAAATTTATCCAATCCTCAATATGGACCTTGTTTTAGTGAAGCCAACAACTAACAATCATTCTTCTATTTCTGCCCTAATATGGTGAGTTCACAAGTAGTTGTTATATATACATCGTGATAAGGTCAAACATACTCTAACTTCTTGTAGGGGGAAAGGAAGGAGACTCAACTACTCAAAGATGTGTAGTTAAGGAGACAGAATGAGTCAGCTGGAAAGTCCAGCAACCAACAAAATGAAATAACATAGACAAAAGACTGGCACATGGTGGATCAAAATGCAGCCATAGAGGTAGGGAAGTCAAGACAACTGCATGATAGAACAGACTGTTCTAAACTTGGGAAGAAAATTGTAAATCACAGGGTAGCCTCAAAGAGAAATGATAAACCTGCACATCAAAATAAAAAAGTGGACACACACAAATATTTAGCAAATATTAAAACAATACCAACAAAGGAAGTGATAACATGATTCATAAACAAAACAAGCTCAGCACAGAAAATTATATGGAACAAAGAAATCAGCAACACTATGAAAAAGTACACAACAAAAGGACAGCAACAAATTCATACTTGTCAATAATTACACTGAATGTCAATGGATTAAATGCACCACTCAGATGGAGAGTTGCCCTAATTTATGGCATAAATAGACTGTCAAGCATTACCCAAAATGCAAAAACACCAGAAGATAAATGAGATGAATGGGACCTTCTCAAAATTAAATTTTTATGTGCTTCAAAAGACTTCTCCAAAAGAGTCAAAAGAGAAGCTACAGATTGGGAAAAAACATTCAGCAATGACATACCTGACAAGGGACTTATCTCTAAAATTTACAGAAAACTCCAACACCTCAACAAAAAAAGACAAACAATCCAATTACAAAATGGGCAGAAGACATGAATAGACACTTCACCAAAGAGGATATTCAGGCAGCCAACAAACACATGAAGAAATGTTCACAATCATTAGCCATTGGAGAGATGCAAATCAAAACAATGAAATAGCAAAGTTCAACAAAACAGAAAATAACAAAAGCTGACAAGGATGTGGAGAGATTGGGACTCTCATACACTGCTGGTGAGACTTTAAAATGATACAACCACTGTGGAAAGCAATATGGCGATTCCTTAAAAAGCTGGAATTAGAAATACCATTTGATCTAGCAATCCCATTACTAAGTATATATCCTAAAGAAGCGAAAGCCAGGACAAGATCAGATATATGCACATCCATGTTCAACGCAGCACTATGTACAATAGCAAAGAGATGAAAACAACCTAGGTGCCCATCAACAGAAGAATGGATTACCAAACTGCAGTACATATACACAATGGGATGCTATGCAGCACTAAAGAATAATGTAGACTCTGCAAAACACTACATAACATGGATGAACTTGGAGGACATTATGCTGAGTCAATCACAGAAGGACAAATACAGTATTAGTTCATTATTGTAAAAAGTCAAGGAAAGGTTTACATATGGAAGGAAGGAAAGTTTCCTTGTTGATTACCAGGGGTGGGAGGGAAAGGGAGGGAACACTGCATATGAAAAAAAAAAAAAATGCATTGACCCATGTCACTTTAGTTTTGTGTATGTCACTATACATAAATTATATTTCAATAAAATGTATTTTTTTTAAATACAGCCATAGAAATATCCCCCCAGTTTGCACACCATAGCAACAGGAGTCCATGAAAAGTTAGTGTCAAAAAAATGGAGACTTAAAAGTATATAAGACTGTCAACAAGTAGATAACATTAGACTTGGGAAAGGAAAAAGTATAAACCAAGGAGAGTAAAACACGATCCTACTCTTTAAAGATGGGTTGTGAAGGAAATAATTTTAGACTAAGGAATAAACTAGAAATAAATCAAAACAGCCCAACTCACTGTCATCAAGTCGATTCTGACTCACAGTGACTCCCACTGGGTTTTCAAGGCTATAATCTTTAAGGAAGCAGATCACCTCATCTTTCGTCCACAGAGTGACTGGTGGGTTTGAATGACCAACATTTTGGTTAGCAGCCAAATTCCTTAACCACTACACCACCAGAGCTCCTTAGGAATAAACCAAGGAATAAATAAATTGGGGACAAATTGAAAATTGGGCTTAAATATAAGATGCAAAATGTTACAAGACCAACCAGAGATATATATATGATAATTTAAATATTGGGTTACGGCTCCTTAAAGCTGTCAAGTCTCAGGTGCTAATTAAGGAGCTCTGATGGTGGTTGGTGGTACAAACCTACCAGGTGCTCCAAACCTACCAGGTGCTCCATGGAAGGAAGGTGAGGCAATCTACTTCCATAAAGATTTACAGCTTTGGAAGCCCAATGGGGGTCGCTATGAGTCAGAATCAACTCGATGGCAGTGTTTTCCTTTTTTTTAAGGTCCTGATTAGGCCTGGTCAAGTTTGTGTGATTTGTGTAAAAATGCATCTGAACACAGTGGTAAAAAACAAAACATGGTTCTAGCTTAGGGGAAAGGACAGGCGTAATGAAGTCTAAAAATGCAACAGGGGTTGATAAAAGGGGAACAGTGTAAATTTCCCTGGGTTGGCAAGGGAGTCTGCTGAACTCTTGTTTAAGCACCACTCTATTTTTAAAATAGAAAATATAAAATCCCAAAATTGAATCTATGTATTTAAGAAAAGAGCTTTTTTCCTCCTCTAATAAACTCTAGGGAGCTCTGGTAACATAGTGCCTAAGGTACTTGACTGCTAACCAGAAGGCTGGTGGTTCAAGCCCACCAGCCACTCCTCAGAAGGAAGATGGGGCAATCTACTTCCGTAGTGATACTGCCTCGGAAACCCAAGTAGGGGTCGCTATGAGTCGGGTCCAACTCGACGGCACATAACAACAACAACAAATTCTAAAGAAAAAATGACAAGTCTAGAATGATAAGATTCAGTACTGAAATAACGTAGTTCTTGCAACGTATTATGAGTCTCCAGATAAACAAGCATGAGAAGAAGGCTCACCAAGAATACACCGCATAACCATTGCATTTCTGAGATAAGGAGATCAAGATTCTATTCAGCAATAAAAACAAATAATATAGAAATGTTCCTTCCTTCTAGTATGTGAAGTAATTTCCTTTATACTTCCCTTTCTATATGAAAAGTCAAGGGACAGACAAATGTTTAGCAAAAAAGAAACTGTAACATTATCCAATACTGGTAAATACAAATATACACCAACCACCTGAAAACTCTGCTTTTAAATGAACAAGACACACATGCAAAATAATTTTAAATAAAATACAAAGAAACAAAAACATTACTTTTCAGAAAAACACTGTACATGATGCAATTTAATAGGCAAGATTTTATGTTAAATATTGCAAATCTCACTTCTAATAAAATTTGAAAAAATTTTAAATGCTATTGTCAGTCATTAAATAAGTGTCTTTTTTCTAAATTAATACTCCAATATTTTCATCTCAGATATCTTAACAGTTTTATTTGGCAAAGAGAAGCCTAAGAACTTTTTTTAAAAAACCACTTCCAGAAGGAACACCCTTTACATAAAATAAATTTGTGTAATTTTGGAGGACAAATCTAAAATGTACACTTTTTGATATTTGTGCCAATTTTATAGTTAGTACAAAAAAGATAAAAGTTAGTGGAAATATTTAAAAATTTAAAAACCAGTCCAGGCAACGTAACTATACAATCTTGCTGTAAAAGCACTTGTATCAAATTCTGCACAAAATATTTGTGATTTGCTAATTTAGTTCCTCAAGTCACTTTTCACTGCCGGCTGGCTTTTCCATTTTCTGTTGTTTCCATCCTGAAAAATACGAACAAAAACAAAAAGTTGATAAAATATAGTTTTCTCTAACTATCCATGTATTTTTTTCTTTATCATTTCACATGAAAATTAAATTCTAACATGCTCACAGAATAGAAGAGCTTTAGCACCAGAAAAGGACTAGCATTAGCGTTATTCTGGTTTTCTAGTTAGTCTAGTTAGCCCAACTTCCTCATTCTGCAAATAAGTGAAACAAAGGCCCAGATAAAGTGACTTTCCCAAGGTTATATTTCAAAAATCACTGTTTTTCTCACTATACCATTTTCTCTTTCCAAGAAAAACTGAGAAAAAATCCCTACCATTTAGTGAAGAATTTATTTTCTTTTCCATTAAAAAAAATTCTTTTACCAATGAATTTTCAAGAGGATTTCTTATTTAAAAAAAATAAATAGATTAAAATAATCAGATTGGAGAGTTATTCAGTTAAAATCCGTATTTCTAATACTGTATTACTTGATAGGAAAATCTTTCCCCAGTTATTTTATACATAGTGTTGCACAGTAAGCTTTTTCTATGATTTTTCCCTTTATATTTAACAAGTACAAAAACTCACTGTCGTCAAGTCAGATCCACCTCATAGCGACCCCTCCTTGGGTTGCCGAGGCAATATCACTACGGAAGTAGATTGCCCAGATTTTCTTCCAAGGAATGGCTGGTGGGTTTGAACCGCCAGCCTTCTGGTTAGCAGTCAATTAACCTTAGGCACCACACCACCAGACCTCCCTTACCAAGTACAGACAGTTCCAAATTATGAACGGTTGCTGTCCCTAAATCAGTCTTTAGGTCAAATTTGTAGGTAAATAGAACACTGTTATGTATGGTTCATATCTAAGGTCAGTTAGTCAAATGTTTGTCTTAGTATATAGTGTATCTTTACTAAAAAATACTAAAGAAACACTTCCAGATACACTAAAACATCTTTAACACAATAATTGTTGTTGTTGTTATGTGCCGTCGAGTCAGCCCCGACTCATAGCGACCCCTCCTTGGGTTGCCAAAGCAGTATCACTACAGAAGTAGACTGCCCAACCTTAATACAGTAACAATAATAATGATGTTTTGATGTGCACTGTAAAGTAGCTCTGTTTGTTATTACAAATCATTGTATGTACCTCAAATTTTTGATATAATAGAGTTTACAGAGGTTAGTTTATAACTATGGGTTATACATAAGTTGGACATTCATAACACAGGAACTGACTGTAATGAAAAATAAATAAGGAGTAAATGAAGGTTGGTGGTTCAAACCCACCAGTCACTCCATGGAAGCAAGACTGAGCAATCTACTCTTATAAAGATTTAGTGCCTCAGAAACCCAATGGGGGTCGCCCTGAGTCGGAGTCAACTAGACGGCAGTGCGTTTGGTGTTTTTGGTTTTAAGGAGTAAATACTTTCAGGGTTATAATCAGTATGATTAGGCCTTCACTAGTACCAAGAATCAAATTAATTTTTTTTTCCTTAAAAATAATATGTATAATTTTAGCTCAACAAAATGAGGTAAAAAGTAGTTAAAATAATGAAAAGTGCTCTTATCTATAATTTCATATTAATAGTCTAGTATATTATTAACAAAAAATTGCTGAACATAGCAAACAAGTGTTTATTACAGTACTAAACAGGCAATTAACAAAACCAATTTTTACAATAAATAATACAAACCCATTTTCCTCTTTAAGATGTTGATATAACTCAGCTCTGTTATTAACAGAATTCAAACGTCCAGCAAACTCCTGATGTTTTCTGGAATTGGCAGTATTAATTCTATTACTCCACAAGGATAACAAGGACACAGGCCCTAGTGTTTTATTTGAAAGAAGAGGGAAAAAAATATCAGAAAAATTTCTCTCTTTAAACTTTACAAATTCAACAAATTTATTTTACATTGTTCACTTTATGAAGGAGCTCTAGTGGTATAGTGGTCAAAGCATTTGGCTATTACCTACCAGCTGCTTCCCTAAAGATTTATAACCTTGGAAACCTAATGATGGTCGCTATGAGTTGGAACTGACTTAACGGCAGTGAGTTTAGGAGTTTTTGTTTATTTTACAAAATTTAGGTAATGTCATCTTCCCTTCAGTCTACTCTAGGAAGAAAATTTCTTTAATTCTAGTATAAAGTAGGAGAGTAATTTATAACTTTGAAATATACAAATTTAATGGACAAATTTTCTAGTAGTTTCCTGAGATGAGGACACTGAAATGAAGACCTGACATATCCAGAAATGCCTTTATCCCACCTGAGCTACAGGTTGATAATTTTCTGGGTATGGAATTCTGTGCTTAAAAATAGCATTTCTCCACATTTTTATAACAGTTTTAATTGCACTATATCTTCCAACAACAGTACTTTTGAGAAGGCTGAAGAATTTCTGATTCCTGATCAGACCTATTTTCTCTTCTTAGAAACACAGGATCTTCTTTTAGTCCCTTCAAAACCAAAAACCAAACTGGTTGCTGTTGAGTCAATTCTGACTCATGATGAACCGTGTGCATCAGAGCAGAACTATGCTGCACAGTATTTGCAAGGGCTGAATTTCTGGAAGCAAACCACCAGGCTTTTCTTCCAAGGTGCCTCTGGGTGGATTCAAATCAAGAGCCCTTCTGTTAGTAGCCAAGCACTGAACCATCTGCATCACCCAGGGACTCATACACAACAACAGAATTACACAGGCTATTTCTCCCTAGGATGAACTGCCAGCAATTGTAATCTGACCAGCTGTGACGTCTTTAGGCTTTAGGAGAAGCAAGGTATCTGCCCTTGGAGGCAAATCATCAGAGTCCTTTGGCATTACACTGCCCATTTATCCTAAAAGGCCTAAAACTACTTTATGCAAAGTAAGTAAGGCCTAGAATAATTTCAAACCCCAAATCCTATCTTTGAAGCCTAGAATTCTTTCAAGAGGAAATTAAACTTTGCAGCCTGTAATAAGAGATAAAAAGGCTTTACAATGAAAATACTGTGTGAAATACTACCTTCACTGAAATTTATTCACATCAAATTTTATTTATTAATAAATGAATGATATTTGATCCTTCTCTAGGTTCAGTAAGAGTTTAGGGAAACAATTTTGTCTTCAATAACTCAGCATGTGGTATATTGTGCTAGGAAAATAAACAGATTGAAGTTCACAGAATTAAATTTTTAAAAATCTAACTTTATGGTGAACCGGCTTATTTTCCAAAGGCTTCATTAATGAAATAAGACATTATTTTCTCTTTAATACTAACAAATATATTTGCTGCCTGTATTTTCTAGGGCTGTAAAAGAGATTCTCATAAACAGCATCCAGGCACAGAGTAGCCCTTCCTCATATATACAACAATAATCAACACTGTATAAGACAGCTAAATCAGAAAACTCCTTACAAACATAGTATGTCCATCCTACCTTTTGATTTTTCCACTGGTGGTGTTTCATCTATTTCAACAAGGGGCTTTTTGTTTGGAGGTTCTGGGGAATCAGGTGAATCTTTTATAATCTCAGCTTCAGCCAATTCTTCTTTTCCACGTTCTAAAATTCCTTTTAATCTTTTAGAAGGATAAATAGTGAAACATAAAATTAAAATTTTGTTTTTCACCAACAAATTTTTATTTATTCTGACAACTTAAAGGGTATAAAATTATTTAATTGGCTGACATTTTTGTTATTATTAATGAAGTCAAACATCTTTCACACATTTATGGACCATTTATTTTTTCTCTTGTGGAATTTCCCCTCTGGTATTTCTTTTTTTTTTTTTTTAATCTGAGTAAGCTTATTTATTATTTTTTTATTGTGCTTTAGGTGCAAATTTACAGAGCAGAATTTGTTTTACATTCAACAGTTCATGTCCATTTGGCTTTATTCCTTGATTACTATCCCCAACCCTAACCCACTCTCCTTCCCTCCCTTTCCTGTGAGCCCCCACTCCATGTCCTTCTTAATTATGTACTCCTGCCTGCCCAGCTTTCTCTCCATGTAAATGCTGCCCCTCTCATGCCCCATGGCCAATTGCTCCAAGGGGTGTATCTTCATAGAGAAGGTGGGTGCATCACCCTGGATTGGGTGTTCTGCATTTAAGTCTTTGTACTGTTGGGCTGAGAGCCAGTCCTTGGGAGTGAGTCCTATCCCAGGCCCAAAGTGCATCCCAGGACCATAGTCTTGGGGGTCTCACCAGAAAATTTAAATTTTTAGTAGTCTAAAGAGTTCAATAATTAAATTATAGACTTTGTGTATCAGTTTTTATAAAAGATAGCTGCTCTCAAAAAGTAAACCTCATAGGACTAATCAGAAGCTAAATCTCAATCTAAAATCAGGTAAGAAAACAGAGTTTCCTTTTTCCTTCATAATAGTAATGCAGTAAAATTTGGTAATGCAGTTAGCTCCAAAGTATTTTTTTAAATCAAGGAAAAGTTAAGAAGCTAAAATTAAAAAGGTCAGAAAAAAAATACAATTTTAGGAAAAACTTTACAATGTGAATTTTTAAACCAACAAAATTTTATTTCAAATTACAAGTAAGACTAAGAAATCTTCTACCGATCCTTTTCTATTCCGTGTATTGTGGAAATACATTTTCATTCCACAAGTTAGCAACTTAACTCCAAGCTCATTTTGAGTTGCACCAGAGAACAGAAGCATTCAAAATATATAGGGATATACTCGAAGATCAGTGGGATCTAAAAGAGAACAGTTTTATTTTTCCTCTTCTTAATGTGAGCCAATCCTGCTTCACAAGCTTAGCAGCCCCAAGGAAGAAGCAAACTTCTAAAGTCAAAGAGAATAAAAGTGTTCTACTTATTTATGAACGAAATTATTTTCAAATTAGCCTCAAAATATTCTTGTGAGGAAGAGTGGATGGATGATGATGGTACAAAGGTAATGGGTGTGCATGTGTATGAAATTAGATCTGTTTTGAACTGACAATTATTGTAGTTGGATATGGGTAACTATTTGTTGTATTTTTGTATATGCTTAGATTTTCCATAATAAAAAGTTGTTTTGTTTTGTTTTTAAGGAATTCACTACTTTGCCATAATATTTACCTGGTTCTTTGCCTAATTTCTGCCAAGGAGGTGGAAGATGGAAGATTATATTTATTTATAAATCTTTATTAGTTTTGTTACATTTTTCCAAGCTTAACCTTGACATCACTATGTAACTCACGAAGGAAAGAGAGTTACTACTGAGGAACATTATCAGAATAAGGACTGTAAGCTCTTCCTCTATGTTCCCAGAGGCATCCTGTATCTATTTTTGTAACAGCACTTCCCACACTTAGGTGTAATCACTGGCTTCCTTGCCTGTCTTTACCACAACACTGCACATTCTTCAGCAGGGATTTTATGCCAAATGTCTGGCACATCATACATATTCACTAAATATTTACTGACCAAATAAAACTATCTTTGAAGTTCATAATACAGAAAGCAAATAGTGATACCCAATGTCATGCATTATGGTTTTCAGAAGTTAATTAGGAAAAATTAACACCATCTTTGCCTCTAACATAAAAAAAGCCATAGTTCTTTAAGCCCAATAAAGATCCTCTAGATTTTAGTGATAAAATCAGTTACAAAATGAAAAAAATATATATTAAATTAACTACTACATCTACTCCTTATTGACTCTCATTCTCCACCATTTCTCATTTACAATCATAGTAAAAAAATCTGCTGACTATTTTGCGTAAGAATGATGTACATCTGGCAGTGATGAATACCAACTTATGAGGTAAGAGTAAGGCTGGCTTTTATGGCTACTTATGTGTCAACTTGGTTAGGTCATGATTCTCAGTGGTTTGGCAGTGCTGGGATGATATTAATTTGGCAGTTATGCGATCATGTAATTTGGCAGTTATGTAATGATGTAGTCATCCATTACTTTGTGATCTGATGTGCTCATCCTCCATTTTTGCAGTATGCTGATATTTTCATTAACAACCTACTCTTTGGAAGCTAACTATGACAATAAGTAAGGAGTAGGTATACAGCATAGTGGCTAAGTCACTTGCCTGCTAACCAGACAGCTGGTGGTTCAAACCCACCAGCCACTCCTCGGAAGGAAGGTTGGGCAATCCTACTTCCGTAGTGATACTGCCTCGGAAACCCAAGGAGGGGTCACTATGAGTGAGGGCCGACTCGACGGCACATAACAACAACAAAAACAACAACAAGGTATACTGCATGAGCTTTCAATGTTGAACATGCTGCATATAGAATGAAATATCCCAAAAGGCACCACAATGCATATTAATGCCAAGAAGTCACCTCTCTGAATCTTGCCAGGATTTTTCCTGTTCATAATCCTTCACTGCTTTCTCCGACTTGTCCTCTTTGTCTTCCCTCTTTCTTCCTCGTTTCTTTCGTTCCTCTTCTTCAGGGGGTTTGCTCCTACATGCCATCAGACATTCCAAGACTCTTTGATGTTTCTCTGAGTTGTTAATATGGGCTCTGACAAGCGTTTCTAATTCATTCCACATGATACGGTATTGTTCATCTCTACAGTAAAGATTAAAATTGACATTTTCTTAGAAACATTCTAAAGTGTCATTTGCTACTGGTAAAGTAAAAAGAAATAATAAACATAGACGTCTTTTCTCTTAAACCCATTTTCATTGGTCAGACTCATGGTGACTCCATGTATTTCAGAGAAGAGCTATATTCCATAGGGTACTAGGTAGTGGAATGGTGGAATTCTAAGTAAAATGTATGAAATTCTGCTAGTCTGTATCATTTTGTCTCAATCATATGTATGCTTACATACAACACACACATATACCAGATACATAATTTACAAATGGAATAAGTTAGTTTAAAAACAGTAAGTTGGGGAGTTCCGGCAAGATGGCGGACTAGGCAGAAGGACTGCACAGACCCTCTTCAACAAAGAAAAGGGAAACCAATTAACACAGACACAGAAG